GGCCATATGTCACATGTCCAACTTGGGGGATACATGTCTAATTTGTAGGACAAGTTTTTGACAAGTACACCACATTGCCAATTTATAATGCAAGTGACTAAATGTGCAATATATGGCCAAGTTGACAACCTACCAATCACTTATAAAGAAGTGTGAAGGGTACAAAGTTTTTAAAAAGCTTCTAAATAAGATATCAATAATTTGACCTAATTCTACTTCTATATTGTTCTACTTATATAAATAAATATACTAGTAAATATGGCTATTTGTTATACTTGAGACTTTATATTTAAAGCCGTAAAAAAACTTATCTTGAATAATTTTTTTCTTCACATGATTAAAACTAGTCTTTAACATGCATGTAAAACTATTAGCTTTAACATGAATTTGATAAAATATTCTCCAACAAAAAGAGACATGCAACAAGGCTACCTTTTGACACCATATCTCTTCAACTTTATTGACAGTGTTTTTAATATTAATATTTGAAAGACAATTAAAGAATGTCATTTATAAGATATTTTTATTTCTTTGAGCCCTAATAAGCAAGTCATTAGCCAATATAATATTGATTGACTCTACCATTACTATTAAGAGGAAAAAAAAAAAAAAAAAAAAAAAAAAAATCTTATTTTGATAAACATCATCAAGCAATTTAGCTTGGCTTTTAGTCTTAAAATTGATTGGACCAAATATTCTACCTATTGGTTATTTAAAAAATTTATCAAATTGGTCCAAGCTTTTAACATGGATAATAGTAAACTTCTTGAGGCTCTCTTTGATACTTCTTTAAAAATGTAGGATATCGATGATTTTTTTTTATCAATAAAATAATACTAAATTTAGAATATTGATCTTCTACAAAATTTAATATGGAAAATAGAACCATTATTATTCTTCTTTCTTGTTTATATTTCTTTCTAGTCATATTGATTTGATCTTTAAAATTTATTTAAAAAATTAAATCTAATTATAAAAAAAATACTAATTCCTTAATATGATCTAAAGTAACATTGTTTGTTTCTTGTAAGGATTGCAAATAGGATTATTTTTGCATCATCAAGTGAATAGAAGCCACCAAAATATTCTTATCCAAATTTTTGTTGGTAGCTCTTCAACCAAATTAAAAAAATATTCAATAATTTTTTTGATTTAAAATTATAGATGCTAAATCTATTTCTTATGGAACTCAAGCACTAAAGCTTATTTGGTCTTATATTTAAAAATTAATATTCTAACTTTCTTTTGAACATGTTGGTGTTGAAGAAAAATAAACAGTTTGTCTTACATTGTTCTACTAAATTAAAAAAATAAATTAAGTGGACATTCAATCTATGATCTTCTACAATGATAATTTATTTATTTTTTCTTATTCAAGACTTAGAAGACAATAAGAATTAAATGGAAATGATTTTGAATTTTTTTTAGAATTATTCCAAAATCAACAAGAAAAAGTTCTTTTGGCATTGATTTCTTTTACTGTCCAATTAAATAATGAGTCTTTGATCATCTTTTATATTCTTAGATTACTAAAGAAGAATTCATGACATGCTTTACCAAATTTGGCAAAAAATTACTTCAAATCAATATCTCTACTGCTAATTTAGTGGTATACAAATGAAATACTCCCAATGATTAAGTCTTTTTATTTTAGTAGAAAGATATTTAGTTAAATTCTCATTATCATAGAAAAAATATGTTAATTTAGCTTATATAGAATAAAGATGTAATACTTAATACTTGAAAAATAAAATCAACCATAATATTAATATTTATTTTTCAATACTTCAATGTAGTGTAATTATATATGAAAGTATAAATGAGCTTATTCAAATAGTTTTTTTTTGGATTTGTTGTACTTTTATCTTTTTCTTTACATATAAAATGTTAAATGGTCTTATCAAAACTAAAACTCTTTTTCTATCAAAACTGGGATATCAAGATTTTATAAATAACTTCTGATTTGACACATTAAAAGTGCAAATGTGAAAATATAAAAAAAATCAAATTTTATTTTTATTTTTACTCATTACCTTATTTTTGGTTAATTTTGATAAAAATACAACTTTTCAAATTACTTCATCAACATTACTTGCATCCCATTAATAAAATTAAATATTTTTTTATTTAGGAAAAAATTAGATTATTATTAAATTTTTTACTATTAATAGAAATTAAAAATTATAAATATAAAAATTATCATTAACTTTAATACTATTTGAACAATTCAAGATTTATTTCTTTTTTCTTTATTACTATTTTTACAAATATTAACCTAAAAAATACATCTAAAGAAAAGAATGCAGCATGGAATAAACAAAACCTTTATAATTTATAAAATTTGTTTGAAAGAGTTTTAAATTTTTTGCACTTTTTTTTTCAAGGATAACTCTAGGATTAAATTTCTACTAATATATTTACCAAAAAACATTACATACAATGATAAGGAAAAGGAAACATAAATGAAATGATATTGGAAAAAGACATTTGAAGATATTCAGTGATAGTTTTACATGAGCACCATTTTGAATACATGTTGATTCAAAAAACATATATAAAAAGATCAAATTAATTTTCTTAATTTTTCACTTAACCTTATAATTTTAGTATGTGGCAAAGAAAAGCTGTATCTTATTGTATATTTATTTTATATTATTTTTAATGCAAAAAAGATTAAAATCATAATAAAAAGAATTTTTAGTGATTATTATTTGCTTTTGAGGAATCACACCGTTTACATGTCAATACACAAGTTTTTAATTAACAAATAATATGGAGTAGAACAATGTTTTTGAGTATTTATTTATTATTAATCATTTTATTATTTTATACAAAATAATAATAAATGACATATAAAATACATCTAGTACTACAGATTTAACATGGCTAATTGTGTTGAATATGTTTGAAGTATAAACTTGCATGTAGAAAATGAGGTCCACATTTTCAATAATGTAGGATTACTTTTATTTTGATGTTATTTTGTGTTCAATGAAATTTTTGGTTCAACATGAAATGAAGAATCACGCTTTTATACATCTATGATACTTCTGTGTACAAAAACATTACAGTTGGTGATCAAAAGTCTTACATACATCTCATAGAAAATAATTTAAAACTAAGGTTCCATATTTTTTTTTAAATAAATATGAAATAATTTTTAATTTTTTTTTTGGATTTGAATTTTTTCATAACAATTCATTGTACATGAGAATGAGTAGAATTGTTGCATTTGTATTCATAACTACTAAAATTCATAATAGATTTTTAATAGAACCTACCACAGTGGTTGAAAGATTATTGTAGAAAAATTTTGAATTTTATTCTGAATAAATAAAGTAACAGTAAATTTTGATGGTAAATTTGAAGTTAATATAATAATTTCATACTCTCACAATTCAAAATAATTAATATTGATTTTATTTTCTTGTATTATTATATTTTGAAGCAAAAAAAATATAATTTTTTAAAAACAAAATAAACAAATTAGTTTACAATTTTTTTGTACATGTGTGTACACTAGCAGGAACTTGTCCCATTGAGTACACAACATGTGTTTATTTTAAATAAATAAATAAATAAAAATCAGTTTAGCTTGTGAGACCAACAAGAAAAATTATAAAAACAAGAAAGCACCTTGTAGTACCTTCAAGAGAGATTTCAAAATCAAAAACTCACCTTCAGCCTGCAACACCAATAAGAGCAATGAGAAAGAATATTTATATAAATGTTTACTAGAAATTCAATGTGAATATTGTAATATTTATTCCATTAATTCTCTTATTCTTAAGAGTAAAATAATAAATATAAAATTTTGCAATAAATTTTGCAATCTATATATATATATATATATATATATATATGCAATTTTTTTCATACTAAGATAATTTTGAAGAAATTCATTTGATTAAATACGAATATAGGTATATGATTTATTTTATCTTTTTCATTACTTGTAATTTTGTGAAATTTGGCATGATATTAAAATTAGTACTTTAAAATCGGTTTTTGGTTTAGCATTCATTGGAAGATCAGTAAATGTATTCATGTGCATGCATAGGATTATAAGTTGTGAATATTTAAACTTTAGACAAACTTAGACTAATTTTAAATATTAAAAAAAAAATGATTAGTGAATCATTTAATTCATGTGTATCTTTTCCTTTTATAGTTTAGAAAAAAAAAAAAAAAAAAAAAAAAAAAGGATAATGTTTTCAGAAACAATAATTGTGTTGTTACCCCCAACATGCAAAGTACAGCTATTTGACCACATTTACAAGTTTTTTGCTGTTCAGAATACCTCAATTATTCTTATCTCATTGTTTTATTCCAAAAGAAAAAAAAGAAAAAAACACCTTTAAGCTACTAGCACTAATTTACAAAATAATTATTTCACAATATGATTCAACTTTATTTTCTTCTCATTCATGCCTTGATGCAATCTCCCCAAGCATTAACTTTCACTTATAGAAGAGAAATCATCTTTATTAATTAAACCCACATCCTCAATTTTTTAGATTACTTCTTGTTACTTCAATTCAAACAAAAATCTTCATTCCAATACTGTAATATTATTGCAAAAAGAAACACCCTCACTTTGAAACAATGATGTGTTGTCAATTCCATGCTATCATACTAATTATACCCACATGAAGTAATAGACCAAAGAGTAACATGCTAACATTTATAGAAACATACATATATATATATATATATATATATATAGGGGAGACAAAAACCTCATGTGCATGAATTCGTTTTTTTTGTCAAAAATTTCCATCAAAAGTTTTCTTTAACTCTTAACTCTCTTCGAGTTAGTCAACAGTGAAGGGGCAACTCTCATAGTTAACTCTTGACTCTAATCGAGTTAGAGTCCATGTGTTAACTCTGTTCAACTTAACTTCGATGTACTAACTTTCTGGATGAGTTAGCGTCGATGCATCCAGAAAACCAATATAATGGTGGGTTGCCTGGCCTGTGATTTATTCTCATGCACGCAGCGGGCTAACCTTTGCTAGATTCCTCTGCATGACCAACATCGGATCATGCAATCATGTGCTACGAGTGAGTCCTCACTCGCATTCAATCCCGGGCTAAGGCGACATCCCCGTCGACGGAATTGCACCTGATGATGCATTGGTAGGTCTACTTGTTTGTCTGTCTGTCTCTCTGTGTGTATGTGTGTCTAGTGCTGTTCATTTGTCCCTTTGTCCGTCCGTCCGTCCGTAAGTAAGACAGACATGCATGGGTGTATACTATGCATATTGTATGTGATGTTCCAGTTTTTATTATTGGAATTATTGTAAGTGCATCAGATTGACAAAGATGGAGCAAATCCGGACGTTGTGATACAGGAGCTTTCTTCTCATGGTCTGATGCCCGAAGAGTGGGGAGGTGATTACCCATGGTGAAGTTAAGTTTTTTACTTATCAAAATGATCTCAAAAGCATTCCCAATTGGAATATATGTTTTGAGAATCTTAAGAATGTAGCATTTTGCAAATGTTAGAAATTGCATGTTCAGTAATCAAGTGTTTCTTTGTCTTCATTTTAAGAGTTCAATCGAATTCTGCCAACAAATATTGTACACATTCTTTTAGTATGCTTAAGCCAATATTGCGAGTTTTGCCTTCCTAGTACATAGTTCAAAGGGCTAAACCTCCAAGCTCGAACGAGGCCCACGGAGACTCAAACGAAGCTCTAGGCGGAAAGGTTTAAGATAAAAATTAAGAAGCTGTTAGTCTCTTCAGCAACTTAATTGTTTGTAAAATGATTGCAAGGGATAAAGATTTTTAGTTTTCTACTCCACGAGGATCCAATCCGGACTGATTTCAAGTCAAAAAGAGAGGGAAGTTCTTCTTCTTCTTAAACACTCCTGAAATTGACGAAGCATCACTGGAACATGCAGCCTTCAAGAAATTGTTAGGATTCAATTGCATGATCGTTCTGGAGCTAATAAACATCAAAGAATTTTTCTCCAAGAGAATATTTTTTGGAGTGCTTGGAGGTGTTCCAAGCAAAAGATTTGGTACTCGACCTTTGAAGGTGCTTGGCGGTGTTGGATGTTGAGCGTTTTTACAAGTCAATTGCAGACACAATCACATTGCACAGGCTATGATGGACAACCCATGGTTTGATCCTAAGTTCCACCTACAACTTCTATTCTGTCTTAATCAACTAGCATTTAACTTGATTGACAGCCAGCCCAGTGACAAAATCCTTCCCAAAACAACGACGTAAGCTGGCTCTGGTATCCAATAGTTACAACACAACAAACCTTCATGAGATGTGTTGATGGAAGTTTCAGCAACCACATAGAATTTTCATAAATATGGTGTCTACTGACGCAAGATGAATGAGAAACAATAGAGAGGGATGCTGTATATGATTCGGCAGTTCGGTTTTCTAAAGCTGATCTCCAAATTGGTATTGCACGGCAAGAAATTGACATCGATGAAAAACACTAATCCGAGCAAGAAATTAGTATGTAATATTGAAATTCTTGAAAGGAAATTTTGTTTTGAAATACAACTTTTAATTCTGAATATGCATCACAGGTTTTCAATTAATTGAATTTTTTTCAAAAAATTGAAAACTTGCAGGAATTGCAAGCCAAAATTCTCAATTAATAAAAATCAAACAATACATTGTATCACAAGAACTGTGTCATTATATTAAAATATAATTTTTTACATTTATTTCATTTCAACATCAAAAGTTCACTGAATGAACAATATTCATATTTCAATTGTCCATGCAAAATATCAAAATTTGTTCAATAATATTACATACATTAGCCAAAGTTTTAATATATGTATATATACACTACTAAAAACATTTAGTGCTCAACTATCATTTAGATTGCTAAATGATTTCCTTTCTGGAGAGAGAATATATATATATATATATATATATATATATATACATATAAATGTATTTGATAAAATAAAAATAAAACCAAGATTACAGAAACCATGTTAAAAACATCTTTTTGATCAATTTATGTTTTTTTAAAAAATTTAAAATATAGCTCACGCACAGAATAAAACCAACTGAGCTCTGATCAATTATCAGAATGTGATGATAAAAATAGACTGCTCAATTGGACATCCATATGAAATTTATTAATCTTATATAAATCTTTTATGTAAAGCAACTCAGGGGGACAAATACATGGGATAAAAACATGGCCAACTGCACATATATATATGCACACACAATATAATAACATTCCGTAATATATACACTTCTCCAAAAGGGTATAAAAAGCAAGATATTTCCTTAATAATTCGAAGTAGAGGGTTGCCGAAAGTTCTAGAAACTGTGATTTCTACGGGCTTTCCACGAAGAAGCCAAAGCCACGTCGGCTGAGCATTGAACAATCCACATCGGAACAATCTCCATTGGCCACGTAGACGATGTGGATTGTTCCGATGTGGATGCCCAGGGTAGACTTGGTCACACTCCAGTGGCCACGTAGACGCCAACCTGGCAACCTAGCATCCAGAGCCAGCTGACGCGCTTGCCAGCCCTAAGATTCCAGATCCTTCTCCTGCTTCCGAGGGGTCCTTATTCTTCAACGAAACCCTTAAGTCCCTCCCATTGTATTTTTACTGTGTCTGTAGCGAGGCGGTGTGCGTTTCCGTGCCTCTGTAGCTTGTGATGCAGTGATCTGAACCCCGTGCGGCGATTATCAGTCACTTCACGGGGGATTACCCAATTGGGTTGGCAAGGAGGTGCTGAGCAGTGCTTTACAGCAGGTGCCAGCGAGCCAGATGTCGGTGGGCGTGTGACGAAGTCTACCCTGCTTGCCGGCGTTGGGAACTGTGTCCGAGGAGGGGGGCTGGATAAGGAGATATTAGACGCGCTTTGTTGCCTTGTCACGGTTTGCTTCAATCAGCCTTGTCGCGAACCAATTCAACGTCTGCCGAAGTGGCAGGGAGTGACACCTGCTCTGCATGGGTCTTCCTCCCTGACGTGGCTGTAGTTGCGCTGGTTTGCGGGGTTTTGTGTTTTTGGCTGCTAGAGGATCGGGAAGTGCATTTCAAGAGATATGACCTGCTTGGAATCTTGTTACTGTGAAACAGCTAAAATTCATGGGTATCTGACGCTGAATGGTCAAGGGGAATGCAATTTTATTGGATTTTAAAGAAGGGGATTTGAACTTTTCGTCATCATTCTAAAAAACACCAAAACAAAAATAAAAATAAAAATAAAAAGATTTCAAAAACAGCGAAAGAAAAAACAAGCTGGTTTGCACTTCTTTTTAATGCCTGCAAAGATTACTTCGCGTCCCTCATTCTCTGTTCGGATCGCATGTCCTCGCTTTAGTCACAGATTCTATTCTGTCATGGTTTATTGCCTGCTAGCATGGGTAAAGCGCTGTAACAGTTGCAGAGCTTTTCATGCTGTTGAAGCATTTTTTTTTTCACAAAGCCAAAAAAGCAAAGCCTAGTACTGCGGTTTATCGAAACCACAGTTTGGGCCCACCATCAGGATTCTAGGATTTAAAGGTGTGAGCGTGTGAGAGAAGAATGAAGACGACTGCGACGGAGAAAAACTAGCACCCTCGACATGCAGTTCATGGCACCGAGGTTTGCCTCGAGGACGTACGAAATGTCTCTTTCCAGTAAAAGCACGTGATACTTGTGTTGACGCAGGGAAAGAGAACAAGAGATGAACTGCGAATGGTGGGATGCATCGAAAAAAATGGAAAAGATACTGCATGCTGCAGTAAAGCAACCCATATTCTTATTTTTTACTTTTTACATTTTATTTCTCTATTTATATGTATTTTGAGAAGGGGTAGATGCTGTATTTATGGAAATCTAAGAGTTTAATCAATGAAGAAACCTAATGAAGTGAAGCAAGGCTCATGAATGCGTCGTCATGATATTTGCTATTTTTTCCTAAATTATTTGTTTTGTGCTGGGGGCATATATGCTTTATCCTATTAATATTAATATTTTTAATATTTACTGGGTCTTCTCCTGCAACAGGTGGTTAACTAGTGCTCATTCAGCACATTGTTTTTATAATGTCTTCTCTCGCTTACTGGCCACATCTCACAGAGCGGTAGGGAAATGGAGGGAGGGGTTTTTAACCGCTGGGTGAATTTTTTATGGCGATCTTTGGTGTGAAACTGAGAGAGGTGGTCTCAGTCAACGATGCCACTACAGGCTGAGCACACACTACAAGAATTGGGGTCTTCTCTTCCAGTCATTGATAGATCGAGGTTTTAGACACGCTTGGAGATAGAAGAGGATCTTTGTGGAGAGATTGTTGCAATTTAGTATTAGGAGGCTTATTGGAGGGAGTTGAAGGTTGTTCGTGGGAAGAAGTTGTCGTCTGACCTTGTCGTTTTGGAATTGTTGAGTACCCATGGGCTCTTTGATGGCAGGATGGGATAACAATCCCTGGAACGAAGAGAAAGGTACGGCTCGCGATGTGTGTGCGGTTGTGGTCAGTGAAGTGTAACCAATTCAGGTGGACTTGTTGAGTTTGGTTTTAGGATTACTGAGTAGTGCTGATTATAGTATAAAAATGCGACTTGCTTGCTGGTTGGAACGAGGCTTGTTGGATGGTAACTGGAGCAGAAGGGAGCCCCTGTCATGATGTCGGTGATGTTATCGAAAACGGGATCGAACATGTGCGCTGTACAGTAGGATAACGTGTGTACTAGTTTTTCTTCTGTTTGTGTTTTATTATTTTACTTCATTTTTCGTTAAGATAACGATAGATTGTAGTTTTTTGACATGGTGCAAATCTATGTGCAGTGCTGACTCGAAGCAGGACCTCTTTAACTAAAGAGAAAATCGAGGAGTATTGGCGGAAAAGGCAACAAGCTATGGAGGAGCACTTGAGAGAGGCTTCGGCACAAAAAAGTCCTAATGAATCGGGAGCGGTATTTTTCCATGACTGATAAATCTTTGTCGTTTAGCTGGTTTCTTCATCCTCAGGTCGATTGATTTGAAATTGAGACCGCATAGTAGGGCTTTCAAACTCCTGAACACAATCTCAGTTTATTTTTTCTGCCTCCGTTGCACCTACAATTTACAGATCTCAGGCTTGCCTAAAGATGAATCTTTCTTGGAGAAAGTTGGACATGAATTTCTAATCTTTGGATCACGGAGTGGCGCGATGTTTTGCAGACTTCCGGGAAGCCTAACATCGACATTCCTCAGACTGTAGTCGAGGAAGTGGAGCTGCCCATGGCAATGAGTCCAGATTGGTACTTACGTTCTCCTCGAATTTGTACCAAAATTTTAACTATATCGGACGAATTTTCATAGTCTAAATTTGTGTGATGATTGAAACTGGTGTGATTGTGAGGAAGTTCACTTTCTATTTTTGAATTTTGTTCATCCTGTACTTGTAAGGAACGTACAGGCAACGACTGACTTAGTACTGATCGCAGGTGGATGCGTAGCAACTGGGCGTTTCTAAATTGTCCGCCGGAGAAGGTAGTCGTGAGTAATCATAGCACATATACAGCTCAGTATGAAGTTGCAAACAAGCACAAACAGGCAGTATAGAAGTGGCGGTAGTCTTATAAAGCATATAACTTTTTGAAACGTGTGTCTTATCTTCTTCGGTATGTGCACATAGTTTGAATTTGAACAGGCTTGTAAGTTGGCTACAAGTTCAAAAACTGTTCGACACAGGGCCCGTGAACTAGAACTAAGATTGAATGTATGAGGTACCTTATGTCCATTTTATGGCATGGGTTTTGTGCGACAGGCAAGTAGAAGGGCATCAATTGCATTGTGAGGTGAGTTTGTACATAAGTAGGTGGTAACCACGGATTTTGGCGAGGTTGATGACCACATTTATACATAGCGTGCCAAGACTTAGAATGCCAGGACCTGTAACAGTATTTATGATCATGTGAAATATTATACCATGTGCAATATTATACCATGTGAGAGAGTTATGAAAAATAGCTACCGAGGAAAACCTGTTCGGTAGTATATGACTTTATTGCGTTACAGTTCTGCTGTAATACTCATGTTATAACACTGGTGCAACAAACTATTGGGAAGTGAAATGCAACTACTGCTTTTACAATGAAATAGCCAAGCACAAAAACGATGAGTTCTGTTCCATGTACCTCTTTTTGCTACAACAACCGTAAGTGCAAATTCAGTGCGAATTTGCACACATACGCGTACACATTATCTAAAGTGGATAAGGCTTTTAAAAATCTTCTTTCTTTAAAGAACACTTTTCTAAAAGAATGGTTTCTACAATGCTGTTCTGACACTTTCGAACCAACACTCGCCTCACAGCAAAAGTACCGAGCAACAAATAACAGCAAGGAGCAGTTGCAGCACCCTGTTTGCAGCTGCCTGAAATATGTACACTTCTTGTCAGTCATGTTAACTCATTTAAATTAAACGAGATCGCGAAGATAAACGTCCAAACGCACATTTCCGCTTCCGAGATTACCGGTTCGTGATGGTCGATGCCGCACATGTTCACACCCATCGCTTCCGCTTAATTGAGGACCCTTCTGGGCTAACTAGTGGCCTGTTGTCCGATGAACCACCAGACGTTTCGAGAATAGCAGAGAAATTGGATTTGTAGTTCATGTCTAACGAAGATGCTCTGCGATGACTTGCACTCACGACTCCCAACCTGGTCCGAGGGCTGTTGGGGACTGTTGGACTGCTGTTCCGAGGACTGTTAGGGACTGTTGGACTGCGCATCTGTGAACTGATCGTCTTTTTGATCTCGGCAGAAGGGGTTCTGTTCAGAGGTTTACTCGGGTGTTTCTCTCCAGAAGCCGTCCTCGATCCTGATGTTGCAGATGTGTAAATCCTATTGCTCTCTGATCGAGCGAGGCCACGGGCACTACTCGCGGTAGATGCCACTGCTCTACGTAAATCTGTTGCAAGTCAAGATAAGGAAGGATGTGAGAACTCCGCAAGTATCAATGCCGACACGATGGAACAAAATAGAACGAAATCCTAGAAACTGTCTGAACTAAAACCTGGCTCATGTTCACTCCTTCCTCTGAATGCCCACTGCTCTCACCTGATGACACCCACTTCTGTTTCTGGAGCGTGCGGTTGTAAGAGGGGCCTTTCGTTCCGGAAAGGCGATCCTTAGTACTACGGCACCTTGAATCGTCACCCGAACTACAATATTCACTTCCTAAGCGGCTTTCGACCTCAGTCTCAGAAAATGCGAGTGAGTTAACTGAGCAGTCATCGCCGATTGTTGATCCGGGTGGAGATGAGTAATCCAGAGAGGTCTCTTGATCATATCCGTGCTCTGACCTTCCATCGTCTGTGAAATCATAGTGTCTTTGTACGTTTATGTGTAAGTTTCTAAAGCGACCTGTGTTGCTTGAGGCCTCCCTCCTGAAGCGTCCTATGTGTTCTTGGATAGGGTCATGTCCAGAAGGATAAGGAGCGTGCTTGTGAGAGAACCTTTGTCTCTGTGAGGTCCCATTACCACTACTTGTGGAAGGAGCAGAAGATGTAGAATTCCGTCGACTTCGAGGCACACCTGGATACTGGTATACCTTAGACTTTTGAACCTGTAATTTCAAACAAGCGCAATAATTCAAGTTTACGAGGGAATTCTAGCCGATGAGGCTGCACGGTTGAGAACGTGGAGTGGTTTTCAGTAGGGATAATTTGCGACCAATCCTGCAAACCAAAAAAGAAGATAGCCCAAGGTATCCGACCTTGCAGCGACGCAGCTCAGATGCAAGCCTACATCAACTGTGAATGGGAGATTGGAAAATGCTGAAATGCAGGAAGATACCTTCGATTCCAGAGCTTGGATGTCCTGCTTTAGGTAAGCTAACGTGGAATCCTTTTCTCTGCAAAGCTCTTCTAGCGTAGCTAACCTCTGCTCATCAGTCACACCCACACCCTCAAGTCATTGTCCAACACCGTTTCTAGAATTGACATTTCGATGTAATTTCAACACGGTGAATTTCATTTACAAACACAGCACCTGAAATAGTAGTAATGAGGGAAAAAAAAAAAAAAAAAAAAAACAACAACAACAACAACAACAACCGTGCGGACTTACATGTTCACTGGCGGCTTTGGTCGTTTCGGTTTCAGCGAGAAGTTTATTAAGTTCAGCGTCACGCCTTTTGAAATCCTCTTTCATCTCCTCCATTTCTTTGTTTTTAGCCTCGACCAGAGCCTGCCAATCCAAAAAATACGTCAGATGAATGGTCTTACCTAGTCTCAATTACTCATATAGGTCGCTTGCTTGCAATATGCCTTCTATATTAAACCGGGTCCGGTGCCTTCGTAAGAGTTATGTTACCCACTGGCACATGATTCGTATTGCAATAAACTGCTATCTAGTTCGCACAATTGTGTTCTCTGGACAAACATCGTGCCTTGCCTTAGGTTCGTTCATGGTTTTCACTTGATTAATTTTGGTTTTAATTTCGCCAGATTTAACGTTTACTTTATTTCTTTCTTGGCTAGCTGCTCTTTCACAGAAAAGAGCTCCATAATCTCTTGGAGTTGCTGTTGGGCAAAGTTTGTTTTCTTCATTTATCTATCTTGTATTATGATTCCCTTTCAGATTCTGAACGGTGCGTTAGAAAAATAAATGAAGCTCACTGGTCTGAAGTTCAAAGAGACCCACTTTTACTCGTGTTTTCCAGCTGAAACTATGAGCTGCTTTATCAGAGAAATTGCAGATGAAGCAACTTATCCATTTCAGTTCATTTGCCCCCTGCGATCACATTTTAAGGAGTAAGTAATGCTAACCTGCTGACTCTTCTTCAAATCCGCGACTTCCATCTCTTTGTACTGGATCTGCCTTACCAACTCGGCAAAGTCCTCAAGACCTTTGACCTGTCAATTTGAGTGGCATTCACATTTGTTCCCACATTTCAGTGCGAGGCTCTTGTGGGTTCCGTCTAATAGCAAATTGGACCACTTAATTTAGTAATACAATCCCAAAATTAGATTTTTCAAAGACATGATATGCAATAAGTTGAAGGTTCATAACAATTCACGGCGAGTATGGTGACAGAAATAAAGGGAGTAGCTTCACGAACAGTACACGAGGCCACTTTGATCCCAACGGCATTGAATCCCGCTTTTAACCAAGAAAACCATAGTGAGCTATGTATACTATTACTCTGCTGGGACTTGTGCAACTCATCCTCCTATTCAGTGCATGTTCAAGCAAAGTGGTTGCATTAACCTTATTGTCCAAATCCCGCTCGATATATTTTGAAAGCCTGCCGCTTTGTGCGCCATCACATCCAGCAGCGTCTTGTTCCAACTTTTTCATTTGGTTTTCCATAGCTGTGACCTGGATCCGTCATATATATATATATATATATATATCAAAAGAAGAGCTTAAAAATGACATGTTATACAGCTTGTCAAGTGAAAGAAACAAAATCAAAGAAGGAAATCGGCATGTAGTTGCTCTCGTTTCAAAGATGAAGGATGCGTTTAACCCAGTAATTAGGCTACGTACTTTAGCTGCCGCCTTGTCCAACTCTCCTAACAACTGCTCTGCCAAGTCCTCGGTGGAATTCCTTGGGCACGCAATACCTCCGCTTCGAAGTCCAAAATTCCTGTCTTCGCTCTGCCCAGTGTAACGTGGATACCTTACAGGGGCTAAACTTTCATCAGCTCCATACAGAGACTTGGTTCTTTCACTCCAGTTCGGGTACTTCGAACACTTCTCTTCTCCACCTCCTAAAGGCTTTCCTGCACCATAATTTGTTCCCAGGTATTGCCTCCAAGCAAGTATACTTTCTTCGATTTTTGATATGTCAGTCCAGGTAGTAGATCCCTGCGTGGCGACCACAAGTTATGGACTGCGGTAATTATGCATTCTATGAAAGGGCAAAGATTACTCAACCAACAGGTAAGGAGGCGTCTCTACTGTTCATAGACATACCTGCACTTCATTGAGAAGATAACTGTCAAATTCCGAAGGAGAGAGGCTGAGCGCTGCTAGTGCTTTGGGGACCGAAGCATTCCAGCAACTAGCAACTGCTAAATGCATCGAGGCAACTTGGGTTTTCGCATCCTCCACACTTGTATCCAATGCAGCCATTACTTTTGAAGCCTCCTTGTCTAGGACTGTCAGCATTTGTTTCTGCACCGGATAATGGGTGTAAAAAGCTGAGAGCATGACAAATCACTTGAAGACTGGACACCGTACCCCGCATTAAAGGTTTAAGAAAAATTTCGGGATCGTACCCTAAGATCAAGCACCACTGCTGCACACAATGCTCGCATCGCTTTATCTTCCTTGTGAGTGGCCCCGTTGCCCATCACGTCCGACCTCGATCGATATACACCTGAATTGTTGCTAATTGTCGCCTGCAGCTCCCACCCAATAATCCAATCATCAACTCCACGTGCACATCAGCTAAGTTTTTATATTGTGATCTCACTTTACATACACATCACGCAAATCGTGTGGCTTCTACGCCATGCTTTTCAGTCTAGGACTGTTAGCATTTGATATGCTCGAAAGGATTTCTGTGAATGGATCTGCATACCTGTGGGGGAGTAAGCAGAGGGGATTCCACGCCCGATGGACGTTCAGAAGAAAGGTTGTTTGCGAAAGATGAGGTCAAAACCCTCCACTCGAAGGTCCCTTCTACTGCTGGATTGCAGATAGAGTACATAGCATTGGAACGTTCAGGAGTGGAAATGTCGTAGAAGTCCTGTGAGGTTTCTACCATGGGGTTTACATACCATTTGGCCTCCTTCGTCCACACTTCATCACTAGCAGGACAACTGCTTAAAGCGCTTACAGACTTACAAGGGGATCTCTCCACGAAAACCACGTCCTTATTTACAGGACTATCTCGAGACAGCCGGCGCTCATAACCATTATCGTCACCTCTAAGTTCTGAATCAACGCGACAACTTATCGCTGGCCTCGTGCAGCTCCAAGCTTCATTCATATCAAGTTTCGCTTTAATGTTGTCCCCCTCGAAGCTGCGCCGCATGGCTGCAAATCCACCTTGACCGGGTGTCTTAGGGCTGATGCTCCGGCCAACCAGATTTTCGAGTAGTTGGAGTGTTTCGGGATGATTGACATGAGTGTTGCTCTGTTTGCAAAGCTCGCTCAATTCTTGCCTGAGTAAGACAAGCTCCTTCTCCTGTAAGCACATTGCAACGAGAATTTCACTTGTTAGTTAGAGCGGAACACGATGTTTTGGGCAAAATACTCACCTTCGATGTTGCCCACCTTAGAATGAGCGATTGCAATGGCAATTCTGGAAGAACGCAAAGGTAACAACGTATTGAAGGCAGAGATGCAAAATGATTTTGAAAGTTGCCCACCCGATTCTCGACGGTCCTGAGAAGTGTGTCAATTTCTTTCCTGTTTCTTTGTTTCGCCGCGGCAGCGGCAGCAGCAGATACTGCAACAATCAAAACGCGCTGCATTGGAGCAAAGTCTTCCCAAGCTTGCGCCTCCTTGTCTCCCAGCTTGCCGCCAATGCTCGTGACACTGGTGGCCAGCTCTGCGTTGATAAGGCGTCCATCCAAGGAAATGTATGCAAATTTTCCAGTGGAGTCATCGGCAGTGAGTTTTTCAGGGATTGGATCTTTTCGGTTTTCCTTCAAGGATAACGACGTCGTCAGTATCGGTCCCAGAACAATGGTATCTCGCTGCCTCGTATCCAGGGAAGCTGCACGACGATGATGTCTCCTGTTACTACCCATGGATTTATTCGAAGTTTCGTCCTCGCAATTTGCCGCCTCTTTGAAGGTCTGCTCAAATTCTGCACGTCGAATAGCCTCATCCAACCTTCTTGGAGAGGATAAACTGTCTGGTTCTGGCTGAAACTTGTAGCTTCTTCGCGGTAGGGGCTTCAGAATCTGCTGCGATTTGTGATCATCGGAATCTTGCCTTTCCATCGCAAAGGTAACCAGTCCATCGTTGAGAGTCTCATTCACCGAGCTGATTTTCTTGTCAGGCACCTGCTGGCGACGATTGAGCGTCAACTGCATCATCTTGATCCAAGGAGCGCTATTTGCCCCCTCTTCACTTCTTGTCATGGGCGCTGCTTTCTCAACTTCCCTGAGTTGTCTTCCACATTTCGGTGTTAGTGAATCTCGCCATTGAGCGAAACCATATCCCAATGCACTACCTATTACTAAGTACACAATTTCTAGCTCAAAGTAATATAATTTTTTCATGTTGTAGTTACTCGAGAACAGACCGCACGGAACTTCCATGATTATTTCTTAGATTTGATCCAGCCACAACTCTACGACATGAAAAATGAGGAGGTGCATCTATAAGCTAAGATTTGCCGCTGCGACGAAGAACTGATTAATACCAATTGATGCGGATTGAGCCCTGCTATTCCTTCTCCATTACCAACTACACCCTAATGCCGACATTTAGAGTATTTTTTCGGTGTAGTTCCAACTTCAGGAAGCTGATCTTTGTGGATACGGGCCTTCTACCACTTTCACTTATGCTCTTCACAGCCATGGTATTCCCCTCGTTGCCCACTATGTAAAACCGAGAAGCCAGCTCGAAATCAGAATGCAAGCTCAATTTTATCAAAACTTCAAAGGAGTTTGGGCACGACAATTGAAGTATCAATTGGGCTGTTTATAAATGAAGGGTGCGGCTCCCACCTGTTAGCAACTTGCAGGATGCAGTCGAACTAGCGAAGGAGGCGATCAATGGACACAATTCCGCTCATGCGATCTTCGAACTTTCAAACCTAGGACGTGGTCTCAAGAACTCCACGTTTCCAAATACACAGTTACCCTTCACAACTTCGCAGCAAATCCTCCACGAACTCGACGTTCTCTTAAAACACCAGTCATCACCAGCTTCCCATTGCTCTACGTCCAGAGCTCATTTCCTAACCCCCCGGCTTATAGCTCTCGAACACACCACATGACTATTGCCAAGCATCTCCAACTAAGCTGCCTCAGGAAACAACAGCTTGCTATTCCATGCCACACATCCTCCGCATCTGACAATGGTCCACAATTTCCGAGGTCCCCCAGAACAGGCCAAGAAGTTTGTGAGTGATGATCAACTGCAAGAGAATTCCCAGCGAAATGATCCCAGCATGTATTCTCGGTGGGAACGGGGGCTTATCCGTCCCCGATCGACGCTGTTAACCGTTTAGTCCGGGTACCGTCGTGAACAGCGGACTAGTATTGAAGATCGCAGAGTGAGGGATTCTATGCTTGGCTTGTTTCAGCCCGCGCTCACATTACTTCTTCGGAGCCATATTAGGAATTGCTTTGATTATCCACCGGATCTGCGAGAGCATCAGATGCTGATGCAGCGAAAAACTTTCTCTCATCCAGGATCTTCAATCTCGCGGAATCTTTGATTATCGACAATTACTAGTTCTAGTAAAGGCACCATGTTACCTTTCAGATTGCAAAGCTTTCTAGGAGAATCTGTGTCTCCCGAGCCCGGGAATAAACTCTTTGTTCAACAAACCTCTTCTTCAGTTTGCATTCTGATTGAACACTGTGAGAGCACTTTGTACTAAAGAATGTCTGGGAAAGAAACGACCTTCCCAGACCAACCGTGTTGAATTAATGCCCACTTTATGAAACTGAAAAAAAAAAAAACCACCCCAAAATATATAAATCCTCATCATCCTCAATCGCCTTTTAACATGTCGAAGACACGCATTGATGGGCGAAGAAACAAAAAACTCTCATTTGGTCAACTACCATGAATGCAAACACCATTAAAAGCGACTGCGAGAACTTTCCAGTCCATTCAGATAAGCGAAATGCGAAGGAGGTTGCTATTCGTAGCGGACACACATTAAAAGACTCCTACCAGAAAAAGAGGCTCTCTGTCACCCTCCACGTTCGTCAATGCACTTAATTTGCCGACGATGTCGAAAGTGTGCATCTACCCAACTGGCGCCTGTGGGCACAAAATCCCCTACACCGACTTATGACCGAAACTTTTATTGTAATTTCCTGCTTCAATCCAGTGCTCCCCTTCAGGCAGCCCTTGCATCATCATCTGCGACCAGGGTGATCTCCGATTGTCCTCCTTCACGTCGCTGCGCCTTCGATTCTCGATAACCCTGGATGGATTCCTTCTTCCAACCTTGCTTGCTTGCATGCTCTCTCGCTCTCTCGTAACTCCTACCACGTTCCAGCTTTGCTAATTTTGACAGGAGCTGCAGGATTGTCAGTAATGCAAAGCAGGAATCGAGATAAATGATTGAAGTTGCGCAAATCTCTGGCGAGGGAGTGACAGTGTCAGGAATTTTTCCACGGAAGTGGAAAAACGACGATCGGAGTAGAGGGATCCGGCTCTCTGGGTTTAGAATGCCGAAGGAGTAACAACCTTCTCTGCTAAATTTGTTAAGTGGGTTATTTTATCTTGATTAGTTTCGACACAGCATTTGCTTGAATGGATTAATAAAAATAAAATAAAATAAAATAAAAAAGCAAGAGATTTGCATCCTTGGGTCTTAATACTTCTATGCGTGGGATGAGGACATGGTGTGTTATAGAGAGGGAGATGGATGATTTGCACCAAGTTTAGCTTGCTTTGCTTTGCTTTTGGTATGCGCATGATAAAATTGTTGTTTAGGATTTTTATTGTGTTACCTAATTAACAAAAAAAATCTAATTTCTATTCTTTTGTTGGTTGTTTAGAATCTGTTTAATTTTATTTAAGATATATTATTTTGTTTTGGAATTTTTTTCTATAACTAATCCAAATAAATGAAAATTAGTCAAATAATAGTAGCAAGATATTATTAAGTATGACATACCAATAAATAGGATTAAATCTTATATTGCATAAGTAACCAAATTTACATTATGTATAGGCCAAAAGAAATATTCAGCCATTTGTTGACTTTGACATATATATATATATATATATATATTTTTTGTCTGGGTCTTTCTATAGCCATCAATCCAGTAAGGTGTAATGATTTATTTTATTCTAATAATGTGCTAAATATTTGGCCTAATGAATGTTCGATCTACCTGTAAAGAAATGTTTTTGTAAGACACCAACTATGTTAATCTTAAATGCCTTCAATGATTTCAACCTTGATTGCCTCTTTAATACATATGTTTTTTTTCTAAAACAAAAAATAAATATCAAACTAGAGAAGAACCATGCCTTACTATTCTACAGATTAGAAATCTAGGAGTAGGATTAATATTGATATTAAGAACAAATTCTACATTTTCAAAGAAGACTTTTATTATTTCAAAAATGTTAATGTTGAATTTTAATTTTTTAAAAATTTTGAACTTATTTTTTTATTTACTAAATTCTTTAGAACAATTCTTTAATGTTTTATGCAAATGATGGAGATTAAGCATACATGATTCAGTAAAATTTCTCATATATAGACTCTAATGAGTCTAATTACTTCTGGCATATAGTTGTGTTTTCGATAATTTTTAGTATTTTCATGTGTGACGTGTTCTTTTTACTACAGAAAAAAACTTCTTTGTGCCAAAATCTCTAAGTTTTTTACAGTTAAATCATAGACCTTGGACATCTTCTTTAATTTTTTTTGTTTGCTATAGAATTGAGTCTTGTTATAGTTTCTTTTATCTTTTTATTAAAACATAATAATTTTAGATAATCTTGCAATTATAAATAAACTCTACTAACTTTTCTTTTTTAATTTTTTTTGTAACACAAAATACTTTATTTTTACAATACTATATATAAATTTTAATAAAATAACATAGGTATATTTTTTTAAAATATGTTTTTACTAGTACTAATATAATTTTATGAAATTTATTCTAATATTCCAAAATCATATTTTAAAATTATAGATATTTTAGAAAAAATATTATTATTTTTATTGTTAAAGAGTTGGATTGATAAATATTTTAGAAGGTAATCCAAAAAAGCAATGTTGCTAATAGTTTTTAATCTATTATATTTTTTTCTTGAAAATGCATCTTTTCTCATGTAAATCTATTTAACTAAGTAAGAATCTCATTCCATTTTTTTTTATTGTGCCAAGAGAATTTGAGATTATTGATGTAAATAAAAAGATCTTCAAGTTGGACCTTATTGTAAACACATTAAACATGTCTTATTCTTCTCTAGTTAAGATAAACTTGCATTTAAAGGTTTTATCTTTTCTTCTTTGATATTATATTCTTATCTCATTTAATAATCTATAGCATTTTATATACAATTAGTTGCTAGTATAAAAAAATCTAAAATTAATACTTCTTATAGTAATTACTAGTAGAATAGTAATATTATTTTTTTGTAAAAACATTACTTCTGTAAAGATAATATATAATCTTCATTTCTTTTATAGATTTTTTTAATATTTTATAAAATGCTTAATATACAATAAAATCCACATTTATATCCTTTCAATTCCAATCCTATTAGAATGGTAAACTTATTATGGTGTTATTTTATATATATACAATTATGCTTCAAGCAATAATTTTCTATTCAAATCTCTTGTATTTTTATTTTTTTTGCCAACTAATTTGTTTGTAACATTATAATGTCACGTCTTTGTTGTGATTTTTGTAAGTATCTAAAATATTTTTAAAAATTATAAGTTATTAAAACCTTTAATAATATAAAAAATAATATTTATCTTTATTTGATAAGAATTGAACAAAGAAGAGAATTTGTTTCCTAGCACCAAATAACATTGTAGTAATTGTATTGTCTTCCTTGAAGGAGAAGTAGTTTATTCTTGTAAAAAATGTCTTCGTATTAGAATAGTAAGAGGCTGTTTTCATTGTTAAAATTTCAGGTTTTTTCTTATTATGACATCAAAATTGAGATTTTTGCATCCATTAGGGAAATTTATACTAATAATATGATTAATTTAGTGAATTTTTTAAATAAATAATTACTTAATTATTGAGACCTTTTCTTCATCTATGTCCAAATATGTTTTCTATATGCTTATTAGAATAGCTTATGGACAATTTTTTTAGTTTATATTATAATCTCTTAGCATTTTTTTATTAAAATTTACTAATTTTTCTTAAGTTCCAATATATTATTAAATTAATGTAATAAATTTCTATACTTTTGAAAATTAAATGCTATTGTGATTTGTCAAATATATCCAAAGTGACATCTTTATTAAGATGTTTATTTCAATATTAATTTCTTAGATTAGTCATTTTAAAGCATAAAGGATTAATATTGCTTTATCTTATATAAACAAGATTTAAAGGAATAATAATATTTTAAAATATTACTCTAATTAAATAGAATAAGTGGATTTATTTAATTATAATATTTTTAATTAAAATTAGATTCTAGTATTAATTAGAGGCTTTGCTATAATATAAATTAATATTACATAAATCCAAAGATATTTGTATTATAAGTATTTATGTTGTGGTCATCATTTAGTTATTCTTTAGTTATTTTATAGTTTTTTTTGCTATATACCGATCTTATAAGTATATCATGTCTCATAAATTCTAATTTTTTATTAGAATATAGATAAGTAACAAGAAATTTAGTATATATAGTAATTTATGTTTTAATGGTGATTTACCTCCAAAAAAAATAGAAAATTATTATGTAGATTATGAAGTAATTTGTTTATATAATTCTTCCATCTTTTCTACTCTAATTTTTTAAATAATATTATTAAACAAAGATCTCTTATAATTTATAAAAATATTGTAATTAGATACTTACTTAATAAAGATATTATGAAATGTGGTTACTTAGTTTAATAGAGTGTAATTAATGTCTCTATTATTTTTTTCTTCTATTTTTAGTCTTTTATTTCTATCCTTAATGACTTGTTCTACTTTGATTTGTATTTAGTTCATTCTTCTCTAAAAGGCATAAGGTTTGACACAATGTATAAATTATGTCATCTTCTTATTGTACATTCTAATCTTTAAAATATTATTTTAAAGAAGATTCATGAAAAAATAAAATAAATAAAAAATAAGTAATCTATATTTATTCTGTTTCTCTTTTTAAAATACAATACAATAGAAATTGTACCAAGTTACTAGAAATACTTTCATATGATCACTTTTACAAATTCCAAAGGTATACATGTTTGAAAGACTTTTATTCTTTATTATTGTATAGTAGATTTTTGGTCTATAATATCTAAAGACTATATTTAAAAGTTACATTTAAAAAATATATAAATTTTAAACAAAGTAATTTTATCTTATAGAATTATATTCAATTCTTGTTCTTATTTAATAAATTTTAAGTTTTATTTTAGTAATATTAAGTAATTATTGTTTGGTGATTTTATTTAATATTACATATAAAATACTTATTTGAGTTTTACAAAATTATCTCTAAATAGCAAGAATAAAAATCTATAGTCTTAACTAAGCCATAATCTTATTTCTTTATTATATCTTAAATAAGATAGTGATAGAATGTATATATATATATACACATTAACCATTACTTAAATTTGATTGTATAAAAACTTATAACTATTTGTATTTAAACTTTTAAAAGATTTGGTATTTGTTATTGTTTGATTATTATTATTTTGAGGCAATTTTGCAAAACCTCTTTGAGGGATAAAATAAGTGCCATAAATTCTAGATTTATAAGGTTAATTTTATTGCAATTCTATTTTTGTGGTTAAAATTTATCAACCTAATAAAGTTAAAAGGTATAATTGAATGTGAATAAAAAATAAAAAATATACAAGCAAGATTTAAAGTATAGCTTAAGATTGATTTGTTACTTGCTTTCAAGCATTTTGTACATCAATAAATAAATTAAAAAATAAAATAATTAAATCTGTTCATTAAAAAGCTTACATTATTAATACAATTTAAGAAGTCCGCTTATCAGTCTTTAACTTGTGATTTTAATAGATATTATAATATAACTTACATTACAAAATCAAATAATATTTTTTACTTACCGAAAAGTTGTTTTCATTGAATATCTTGGCAAAAGATAATCTTGATCAACAAAACGATGCTTTCCTGAATTCAAAATTAAAGTTATTTAAAGCCAATTCTATTAACACTTGCACTGCTCCATCGCCAATGACCGGAAACTTCAAAATCCGAATTGCTAGTATCAATAAACAAATATCAAAATCGCCCTCTAATTTCGAGAACCTAATCAAGTAGTAATCTATTTTACTTTCATCATTGAAATCAACCTTGCTCAAGTGCACGTTAAATCAAATAATCAACTAAGACAAATTCTTTGCGCAAAATCTGGGCGCCCCTTCTTTGGCATGCGTAGCAGTCCAGCAATTTGAAGCTCTGTTGCTGCCCTCGCAAAGCGGGCTCTGTGATTGAAGTTAAGGAACAATTTCATTCTAGTTCCTTCATGGAAATGGATACCTAGTCATTAGGAGACAATGTACACAAACAGACAAAAGATATCTAAATTAAATCGGTACATATTTTACAGTGAAACACAATGAATACAGATACACAGAGTACAGGTGAGCTCAACTAACTCCACTGTGGTGCAAGGATACTGTATAGTAACTGCGTCAACTTCAGAGCCATCTGTTTTCCCCTTCTTCCCTTTCCCTCTCCCTGAAGCGGCTTTTGCCGGACAACAGACGCTTGAGAAAGATTGGTACCAATCGTGCACGTTGATCAGCTCATTGTGTTCCTGAGTAAGATGGAATCTACAAAAGAGGAGAACGTTTTAAACTGCTCAATCAACAAGAAATTTATTGTCATTATGTCAATAATCAGCAGCATATTTACAACACGTTTTCCGGTTGAACACTGAAACAAGCAGAAGTACGAGGATTGACTTGTTTTACTCCTAGCTTGTCATTTATGAACAATGTTAAATATACTAGTGAACTAGTTGAGGGACCAAAAATGAATCATTCAAGTTCTGAAAGAACTTACGCAAGACTTGTGTCGTGCATTGAGTTTGACAAGGAACCGTCACTATGACAGCAATCACATTGCAAACGCAGCTGTGATCCCAACAAGTCCAGTTGCACCTTCTGACGAGTTGCTCCAGTCATTTCCTGAAATACAACAAATCAACATTTACATCATGTTCTAAAAGGTCTGGTTATTGAATCTAAGATCCGAAACCTAAGGAAACAACATTGTTTGGATGGACCACTAAATGTATCTGCAAACATTTCATCTCCTTCAACAAATGGTCTGAAGCATGCCAGTATCCTCCCAAATTTAGAGTAAAGTTGAGGTAATAACCTGCTGCAACGAGGACACGTTTTTAAAGCAGATAATTTCATGAAACGGCAAAGACTCTGTTGGTACCATATATTGACTGCAATATTAACACTACTGCACATGAGTCCAACGATAACTGCATAAAATCATTTACTTCATCCTCTACATTAAAAAAGCGATTACATAAGCAATACACTGTAATTTGGAAGGCAATTAATTATAATGACACATCGAAATAATGGTACATACTTTAAGTGCACTGACTGAAACAAATAAAATAAGACTCAACCAGGAAGGAAGCTGAAGCAGAAAGGGCCATAAGCAAGCGTACGCACAGGATGATATGTTGAAACAGGTCAGCTACCAACTCATTTGAGGGGTAACCCCCGACCTTTGCACCCACGCCTGAATTCTGAGATGCCATTCTGAAAGTGATGGAATTCAAGTTATACCAAGAGAAGTAGGTGACGTCGCATGTTTACAACAAAAAAAATTGCATAAAAACCTAGTATGTCATTTTAAGGGCACCGCAATATTCCCAGAGGATCATTGCAGAATAGCACTCTGTTAACAGTAATCTTATGTACCTTCGAAGGTCGGAACGGCTCATTGCTTGCTGACTTTGCTGGCCTTCAGAATCAGTAGTTTTCTTTTTTGGAGACATCGAAAGCTTCTTTCGCGGACTTTCCCTTACGTCTAAGGAGATCTTTGAAGGAGAGTTGAGAGTTTTTCTTGGGCTCTCTCTGTCACCAACTACTGAAGAAACATTTCCATCAAAAGCTAAGCTTCGCGTGCTGGGACGCCTGGGACTTTCATGGGCATTGATTGGTAGACCTGTTGCCTTGATTGGAGATTTTGGAGGTTTGCCTGCGGGACTTCTAGGACTCTCCGGTAGGCATGAGTTGGAAGGTAGCTTCTTTGTTGGCGTCAACCTGCTTGACGTTCGACGTGGGCTTTCGTTGAGACACGAAGTGCCTGACCTCTTGGATGGGGTAACTGATCCCGGTGAAGAAGCCATTTTACCACCTTCTGGTGAACATTCCATAGGGGCAGAATGTAAACCCGCTGGTGAGGTTTGCTCCAAGAAGGCTCCAGATAATGGTCGTACAAGAGAACTCTTCATTGTATCAGGAAGACCTGAACCACTAGAACTCATTGGAGCAGAGGCCATTTCAATTCTGCCAGAAATTGAACGGTTGGGAGGACTTGAAAGATTTAGGCTATCCCCATTCGAAAACTTGACGTACACTCTGCAGACTTCTGCATGAAGCTGAAAATTACGAGGATTTTAATCGTAAGAAATAGATAATAATGGAAAGTTTTAAGAAATTTAAAGCAATGGTCAGATATGTAATATGGCAGTAATTATAAAAGTCTCCGCTTGAACAGGAAGTGGAATGTTACCAAAAGACTGGAGAATGAGTATAAAAGTCCTTCATTTTGACTTCTCTATGTCTTTCATGAGAACTTGGTGTATCATTAATTTTTTATTATAAATGATATTCAAGAACCAACTCAAACTTTACAATTAAGGAAAAGCCAAGAATAGCATACACATTTGATACCTCATTGATCGTTGAAGTAATCTTCTTCCATTCTTCCAATATGTTTTTAAGAACCGAAGGCGTCTGCTCCCTGCAAATCAAGCAGCTTATAAACTGAACATTAAAAATTACAAAAGCTAAGAATCAATTTTACGTACTGAAAGTTTTTGTAGAACACGTCTGCAGCAAAAAAATTGTTACTTGCTGAAATTACTCGAGACAAAAGTATATGATGTTGAGTATATATATCAAACTAAAGAAAATCAAGTCGTTAGTTTTAATATTCAAGAAATCAATACTACCTTAGCTTAGTGAAAAGACCATGCCATTCAGTGCTGAGAGAAGGAGTGCTCAGCTGTTGCACATTATTCAACTCCGCAAACTTCAAATGTCTCCCTGCTGATGGAGAAGGACATAGGGCTTGGCAGAAAAGATCTAAAAATCCAACACCTAGCTGCTTCCCCACTTCCAATACGCACTGAAAATGCAACACACAACGATGAAAAATAATGAGATTGATCAGCCAAACGAACTTGGAGAAACAGTATCCGTTTACTCAGTATCACGGCTGACTTTGAGAAGCATCCTAACTGTAACTGCATACGAAATTACAATTTGTTTCCATATAAATGCAAAGTCCTGTACAAAGCATAATTCTTGCACAAAGGTCGAAGAGTCTAAAACGTAAACCAGATACTTGAAGAATTGCTTCGTTATGGATGTCCATTATGAACTAGCAACTAAGAATGAAATCTCCGACAATTTCTACACACTAAGACGACAACAAAAAAAAAAAGAAAAAAAAAAAGAAAAAGAAAAAAGAACTACTGGCGGGAGGATGGGAAAACCAAAGTTTCATGAAACAGACTATTAGACCATTGTGAAAACAGCAATCTCTTAATGTAGGAAAAGATGACAATACCAGATCAAGTCCGAAGATGACATAGATCACAACCTCAAACGCATATAAACTTTCATCGCAATAAAGCACTTACTAGGAAAGCAACGCTCCAGAGCTGCTTCTGCTCTTTAACGAGCCAGAGACTGCTTGCAATCTGCTTCCTCACATTTTCAATCCCTGTATCAGAACTGAAAAGCCAAAAACGTCGATTAGTTAGCTCTTAAGCTTGCGTCACCAACAAATGTAGATCTATTGATGATAAATATTACTGGAGAATGAAACTACCTTACATCTGAATAGGTACCAAGGAGCACTAAAGTACAGTTATAACTTAACCACCGTAACTGGTGTCTATCACAACCTACTTGGCCAGGGGATATTTCCAATGCGCACAGTCACTGGCTATCAACAAGACAAGACGAAAAGGCCAAATATATATGCAGGTAATATCTCAGACGCTGATTGTAACATATGGTCTACAACATTCAATGCGCTATGTGATGAGAGTGGAACCGAAAATCAATTAGCCAAAAGCGTCTCAGTATTTGGAGAGCTTTAATTATAACAGACCTTTCAACAGATGAAAGCTTTGCTGCATAATTTAGTAATTCAACTGGTAAGGCAGCACATTGCTTTTCAAAGTCAACCTGCACCACATCAAATTGACACGACTTAGCAGAGAAAAAGTCCCACTGACTTGTTTAACATCGGCTCTTGGGGAAAAAAAGAACACACGAATCTCAAATAGTGAATAAATTTCTCGATGTCTCTAGCTGAACTATCTGAACTATCTGAAATAGACGGGACTGTCTAAATTGGCATGCCATCCTCAATTATCTTCCTGAAACTTAGTATACGATGGAGAACATGAAAGGACGTCACAAGCATAATAGCCGCATGTCAAGATCAATAACGGATGCAATATGCAGGGAAAAAAATTAAATACATTGCAGTTAAACGGAGTTCTAAATAGCAGATTATCCCAAAGGGATCCGTTCTGCCCTGTCATCTAAGTGTAGCTCGTTGAAAGGATATGCTGAATGAAGCACCTGAGACGAGCTTTTCAAAAGCCACTCACTCAAGAAACTCAAAGGTTCACTGCAGAAATGCTCCATGCACGCTACCTACATTTCCCCACATGTAAAACAAGTAGAACGCATCAGTTGCAACCCCGTAACGCAGCATGGCTTAAGTTACGGCAAAAGACTCAAGCACGAATATGTGCCCAAATTTCTAAAGGAATAGAGTATTCTCTAGATTTACATTCAACCCGCCCAAAATAACTGTCGAAATTTAACGTGACTCTCCTGAAATTAATCAGCATATCAAATCAGCAACTGACCGACAACTGCTGGTACAACGGAATATGATACTGAAAACATAAAAAGTGTAAATAACTTTTTCATTCAACAATAAGATGCCTTACCTTAATAGACATTATAAAGGATGCAACAGTAAGGTCATGCCTTAAGAAATGCATGTGCATATGTTTGACAACTGCGTGGCTGATTTCAAAAGCACTAAATGAATCTACCAGCACTGCTCTCAAGACAGACTCCAGCCTCTCAAGAGGAGACTTTAAGGTGAAACCACATGGTACTAGTCGCGATACTGCATTGGATGGGAGAAATCTTTGCAAGACATCAGCAGTCGTCGCAACGCCCAGAATGAGGACAATTGGGATCTCTGCTGACCATTCGCTGCATAGAGAACGACCTAGTCAAAAAAAAAAAGGACGGCAGAGTAGTCTATTGCTGTTCAGTTTTTAGTTTTCACGCAGCAAAACTACACCATCCTTAATGTATGTTTCAACGCTAGAGCTTTCAGAGAGAATGTCACTCATCCATTGACATACGAGATACCTTAGCAATACTACGAGTTCTCCAAGTGCTGTTATACTGCAGCGTTCCATATGTTCCACCATAACAACCACAGGACGACCGCGGTTCCTTGCTTCAGAATACCAAGCGGCAAGTATCTCCATATCTGCTGTCTGAAACATCAAGATAATGAAAAAATATTCATTGAAGAGATTCATCTAAACAAGGTCAAGATCTTGAACAGGTCTTGAACCTCTAGCCAAATAGATTGGAGCAAAAGAGCTTTGTTAGTGCACAGAGGAGAAGTGAAAAAAGTACACGCTGGTATAATATGAAAAGTAGTAGTTCTAACCCGTACTATGCAGCTTGATAGCGACCTTTATAAAATCCAACCAAAGAAACTTCTGTTAAACTCAAAGCTCAATCAAGGTAAACATGAAGCTGTACTCACCTCGGGCTGGATCTGCAAGAATTGCCGCAGTAAGCTATAGAGAGGTACAGCAATCTGACACTTGCTCGGGAAATCAGAAGCAACAAGACGAGCCACATGAAAATTCTGCGATTTCAGATGCATTGACAGTCCGTCAAATGTAGCTTGATGATCGGATGAATCAGCACCACCTAAATCAGACGTGAGGAATCAGGAATGATGATGGGGCCAGAAGTTTCATGCGTATTAATTTAAGATAGGAATCACATCATACATAGATTCAACATGATCACGACCCTCAACTTCTCAAATATTTAGACAGACAGTTCAATCAGACGGGTGCCGACAGGTATAACAATAAGCAAGTATAGAATAATGAAGTGTAAAACTGACCAAGAAAGAGCAAGGCCGTGTGAAGCTGCTTGTTGAAAGAACCTACAACATGAGTACCATATGTGGACGTATGTGGCTGATGATCATCAATGGGTGCAACACGGGCACACCTATACAATTGCTGTTGAGCATCATAGAATTGACGATTGCGTATCCACTGACTGATTTCTTTGAAGCTAGCATCGTTATATTCATCAAGAGTAGCCTGTACAAGAAGATAAAGAGTACATATGAGTCATCGACTGGCGCAACTGATGTCGTAAATGAATCGTATGTTCATAGTGTTCTGATTACCAACGTCAGGCAGACAATTGTTTTGAAACAATTATCGCACCCGATAGTACTGAATTAAACAACTGGAGAAGAATGGCCAACTAACTATATGCTAATTGGTAACCTACGGCATGAAGACGAAATTAGTAGTGCGAGTGCCCGGCCAACTCACCAAAGCTCCCCAGCAAATTGAAACATTAGACACAGCAGGGAGATTTTGGGGAACGAATTAAAGATTAGAAACGTGAAAGGATTTCGAGACCTACAAATAAACTCTTGGATCATAAAATCTATTCAGAAAACACTCTGCAATATCACCCATTAATGAACAAATCAAAGTGATGTAAGCTGGCATTGCAAGTACCGAAGTACGGGATGAGGAGAGGAGGTTCAAGATTGTGATAGATAAGGTAAGTGGGACGGACCTGAATGAGAGTCTCCAACCTCCCCCAGACAACATCAAACGCATGCTTCCGCCAAACGCCACAGAGAGAAGGTTCGTCACGGAGGCAAGGTGGCAGAGTATTGGCGTGGGTGGCGTCGGCAACAACAACATCAGCGAGGGAGCGCGGGGGGCGACCGTGTTTGCGAGGAGTAGGACTAGGGTCCGGGGCAGAGTGCAAGATGTGGCAGACCTGGACGGAGTACAGTGCAGATGCGTGAGAAGGCTCAAGAGAAAGGAAAGGAAAATTCATCGATTCCGCACAAGAAAAAGAAAAAATAAGAAGAAGAAGAAGAAGAAGAAAGGAGCAGCACCTGCTCAAGAGAATCGTCGTCGGGGTCTGAGGGGTCAAGGAAGCCGGAAACGGAGGCAGTGGCAGCCATTGAGACGGTACTTCGAAGCGTTGCCAACGCAATATCATACAACCAGCAGAATGAACACACTGCAGGCAATCGATCGAGGAAGCTGCATTTCGTGCTCATGCATCTTCGCTGTCTCTCCTTCGAAGATGGCAGATGACGAGCATTCTGAGAATGGTTTGCTCGATTGTAGTCAGTGCGTGCAACAACAACACTGCGAATCGTTGCGCGACACAGTGGACGAAGTTCCAAGGTTCACCAACGAACGACGACGAACGACAACGAACGGATACAACCGATGAGGAACAATAATGAACGACAACGGACGACGTGCGTCGAGCACCTCGAGTTTTGGCGCCAGGAGAGAAATTTGTCCATACAAACTTAAATATTCATTTAGAAATTGAATATCTCATAAATTTTTCAAAAAATAAAATAAAATATTATAAAATTTTAATATTAGTGTAAATTATAAACGTAATAAAAAAAACCAAGTAAATAGGAGTAAGTGATGCAAGAATATTAAAATACATAGAGTGGCAACAATACCAACATAATAATCCATCAAAAAAAACATTTAAGCATTGAAAAAACTAAATGTAATAAATAAATTTGTAGAGAAACCTAAAAATTTGAAGTGTTCCAAAAAATTCCAACTTGATACCTTTTCTAACTTAAAAATGAATTATTATACTTATGTTGGTGTGTATGTATATTTGTATACAAATATATGTACAATAAATGGTTTAAAGAGAGTATTATTCAATTTCTTACTTCAAGTTGTCAACAGGCTTTGCCAGAAAGCTTAATTTCTTTTCATAAAATAAATTTTGAAACTTTGAGAATTTCTGTAGAACAATATTCTTAACTCTTTATTTACTTGTGTTAATGTTTCTTACAATCTCATGTTTTCAACACAAGAAAATAAGATGAAACTTAAGTAAAAATATGGGCTCATTGGTTTTATATTGGCCATTCTTTTGTGATTAAAAAGTAAACATGCTATATATGTATGTGTATATATAACACCATAGATATGTACAAAAATAAATATGTTTTAAAATATTTTTAATAGAAGTTATTATTTTAATCTAAGAATATTAGAGTAATTAAAGATAGAAAAATATTTTTTATAGTTAATTTAATATTTTCTGAAAAAATTAATTAAATTTAAAATATATAAATTTATATAAATTAAATAACTTTTGAATAAATTTTTATTTCCTTTGGAATTAAAAATGCACTTAGAATTTATCAACATATAAAATATGGTACTTTTAAAATACTTAAAAAAATTACAATTATCAATTTAAATAATATCAAAATAATTTCTGAAAATAAAAGTAAGATAAAAAAAATCTTATGTGTATACTATTAAAGATACGAAAAGAATAATAATAATATATTAAATCGAAAAATTATATTTCTTATAAATACTCAGTTTTAAGTTTTCAAATAAGATGTATGAAGCAATAAATAAAAATAAAAATAAAATCTATGGATCTAAAGAAAATTTAAATATTTATAGTATCTTCATTAAAAATATTAAAGAAAATTTCTAAATATACATTAGATCTATAAATTCACCAGGTTGCTAAAATAAGTACTTAATATACTTTTTTATTTTTATAAAACTACTATTGAAGTATTTTTTAATTTGGATATTTAATCCATAAGTTTTTTGGTCTATAAAAAACTTCTACATGGCCTTCTTATTTACTATTATATATATACACATATCTAGAAGAAAGTATAAGGCCATTTTTAGTTTTATCAATATCTTTTATGTATTGCTAATAGTAATTTAAGACTCTAAAAATTGTGTGCCTCAAAATAATTAATGTAATATCATACTACTTAATAATATATATCTTCTTGGTCTTTTTACTTCATTCTTAGATATACATACATACATTATTCTTGCAAAAGTTTATTTATATTACTTTCTTTGACATAATAATATATTTAATATTATTTTGAGATTAGGTGTCTCTACTTTAACTTAATATCTTCATAGTTCTTATAATACTAATATAAGCATAGATACAAAAGAATATCAAACATACAAATCTTCTTAATTTAATAAATATCTATCATTAAGATTCATCTTTGTTGAATATAAATCTAGAAGTATTATTTTTTAATCTTTTTAGTTAAAAGAAGAAGAGAAAAGAGTGCATTTTAAGGCATTTTTGTCTCTACTAAGATATGATTATATACTACTAATAATAAGTAAAAAAATAAATAAAAGATAAAAATAAAATAATTAAAAATATTAATATATTTAAATATCCATAATAATATAAAATTAATAAAATAAAAATTATATGTAGAAATATAATTATTTGAAATAACTTCTTGTCAAATAAAAATAAAAAAGTGGTATAGTTTGCAATAATAATTAGTTCTCTTGCATTGATCTACAATCCATATAGGATAATTTTGGAACTCATGAAAATAAGGGAGTAGAAACAAATTAAATCCATAAACAAAACATTCAATAACAATATGACTCTTACTAAATATTCTATATAACTTTATATGTCATTTTTAGAAGATGAAAAAAATTGAATTATTCTAAAGAATTCATTTTGTCAAATAAGAGGTTAATAGATTTTAACTTAAAAAAATAAAATTTAAAATAAATCTTTAGAAGGAATAGTAATCATTGTATTTCGAAGATTAAATAATAAAATCAATTAGGAAACGATTAGTAATTTAAAATCTCTAGTAGTATATACTTAAGGCTATATTAGAATATAGAAGTTTCATATTTTTTTAAACTCTATATTAGCTAAATTTAGACTTTTATACTATCTTTATTGATTTTTAAACATCTTTAGTAAAAAAGATAAGACAATCACATAGAATTTTAATTTTTGTTATTTTAAAGAGATTTAAATATTAATTTTATTGATAATAATTATCTAAAATTAAACTAAGTATAAAAAAATATAGAAAAAAAATTAAGGAAATCCTAATTAATTTTTGATTAAAAAATCTGAAACTCTCTAAAGAATGATTTTGTCTTATAACAAAATTATCGTTCTATGGGTTGTAGGTTAATGCTATGGAAATTAATTTTAAAAAAATCATGTAGAAGAATCTTTTTGGCTAGATATTGTACAAGCTTGGTATTAGGTATATACAAAAAATATTTAAAAATATACATTAATGAATAGATGAAGATTCTATTTACAAATTGAAATAGAAGATACAATTATATTTTTAAAAGATAGTGATAGAAAATTAAACTTTATAAGATAAAAAGAAAGATACTTTGAATAAAAGTGATTCTTACTTAAATAATAAAATAAAAAAGATAATAAAGAAGAAGAAATAAATAAATAAAAGTATTGCAAATAAAAAAAATCCAACCTTCCTCTTATATACTTGATTTATTAGTAAATACACAATACCAAGGCAAGTATTTATTAAAGAACTAAGTTTCTTAAAATAAAATAAAATAAAAATTAATATAATGTCATACTATCACTTTGGCTTCAATTGAAAAGAAGTTTATTAGAAAATGATGATAAGTAGGAATTATTGACCTAAATTCTTGCCTTTTCTAGCAATTTAGAAGATGATAAGTCAAAAAACAAAATGATGATGAGCATGGTTGATTAAAAGTAGGATTTTTATTTTTTATTTTTTATTTTATTGTAAATGACTACTATCAAGATTCAATCTTGCAAATTCATCTTCAAGACTTATATACTTTTGAATTTTCTATATTAAGAATTTTAAGAGTATAAAAATTTCTAAAGAACAAAATGAATAAGATGTAGAACTATAAAAAAATATAAAATCTATAGTAGCAATTACTTTTATATTTAATTTAAGACATGAGGTACTGAAATAAAATCTTTACTATATTCTACAAAGCTAGAAGCACTGACATATCTTCAATTTCAACTTTGTATATGCTTTTTATTCTAAGTCTAGTTTATTGGAAATTAAAAAAGTGAACTGCTATAAGACAATTATATATAGAAGATACACATGAGTTAGATTAAATAATCTAAAAAAAAATTAAAAGTTTTAAAATTCGAATTTTAAATGATTTAAAAGTTTAATACTAAAATTAATACTCATTTTTTTTCTTCAATTAAATTCATTAATTCTGATTTTCTTTTGAACTTTTAAACAATAACTTATCTAAAGGTTTGATAATAAAGTTGGTTATTTATTCTCTTACTAAAATATAAATAAAATTAATCTTACTATTCTATTTTTTTTGTGAAGTAATAATAGATAATAATATGCTTTGTCTTTAAATAGAATTCAAAATTTTGTGAAAAAAACTAAAACTCTTATTTTTATTGTTTATAAATTCAAGTTCTTGAGGTCATATTCTAAAAATATTTTTAAGTATTATTAACTATATTATTCCTTATATTGGCTTTAATAAAATTTAATATTCAAATTTTGTGCCTAAGAGTGTTACTATTAGTTCTATTTTTAAGAACCATCTGATAGGAGATTTTTCAAAATAGAACATTAAATCAATAATTAATCTATTGCTCTCAATATTTCCAATGTAATTTTAATTAAAATATTCTATTGGTAGTATATCATTTGTTTATTCTTTTTTGGACATAATATTAGAGTCTAAAATTCCTACAAGATAGCAAAATATTTTTTTAAGTGCCTAAAGATGAGAGACTTGAAAATATTATATGTAGCAACTAACAATAATAATAACACAAATAATGCTTGATTAAGTATAAGTAAGATGTAGTTATTTATCAACTATTGAGTATTGGAGAGTAGAATCAATTGCATCATCTAGTATGTTAGAAGGAAGGTATGATGATGTATTGTAATTGCTTATAGTATGTAAAAATTAGTTAGAACATATAATATGTTCATTAGTCTTGGTATATGTTAGAAAGGTTAATAGATTAATTTAAAGAGAGTAGATTTAAGAAACTTTACTTTGAGTTTTATCATTTTTGATTATAGCATTTAAAAAAATTATAGGACCTAAATATTTAGTATAAAGCCTTGAATTTTTGGATATGGATTTGGTGGAAATATTATGTGATTTGGAGTTTTTATGATGGAGTTATTGGCACTCAAAGTTAAGGTGTTAATTTCATACCTACTGTCACTTTTTGCAGCATAACATACGTTTACAAAGAGAAACGAAGGATCGAAAACTAGGATTGGAGAGAACACTTTTTTAACCACACTTTTTATATATTTTTTAATGAATTTGGAGTTTGGATGAAGAAGTTATAGAGGGTTGAAGTCAGCGCATCCAAATCAAAGGCAATAAGTAAGTGATTTTGTTCATAGTAATGGTTGGAGCCATATCTTGAGTTTCTAGACGAATTTTTAGCTCAAACCTTTAGAAGAAGATAGATTATTGT